ACACACACACACACACTGTATTCTGACAAGTTTAGGTGCTAGAGGTCCAATCCCATTTCAATGGCTATTGCAAGAGTATTTACAGGGATAGCCAGAGTTTTGCCTTTTAAAAATAATTTTAGGTACACGTTAATCAAATTTCAATAGATTGCAGGCTGACAGAAAATAGTATAAATTTTGTTTATGATTTGGTTACTTTAAGGTACTTACATTAAAGAAACTCATTTAACCCCTGAGTGCAGAGCATTAAGTAGGGAGGGAGCTCTGCAAAGGCCTCCAGCTGCCCTTTGCTCTCTTGATAATCTTAAATTACTACAATTTAATTGCAACTTCAAGGCATCGAGTATGGGCCGTTTCTGCAGGTTTCAGAAAGGGTTTCCAGAGCTTAGCTTCGTTTACACAGGTGCTATTTTTATTTAAGACAATTTTTTTTTTCTGGGCACTTTTTCCTTTTTTTATCTGGTTAGATATAATATCCCTTATATACATTTCAGTGAAGGTCGTTTTTGCTAAGTAAGCAATACTGGCCAGTGTCTTAAAGCGTGTTTTAAAATCTAGAATATAAATAAAAGCCCTAAGCAGGGAATTGATTGTCTAGGGAAAATATCCAAGAAAGTCCAAGAAAGGCACTTGATGACTGAGCAGGTGAATCCATACATGAGGTTTTGTATATACATTTATTATTTGCAGGGATTTTTTTTTTCCCAGTAAATCCCACCAGGTGATCAAACACAGAGCTTGTGAGAGAATCCAGCCAGAAAGGTTTGCATGTTTTCCCAGTGGTCTTCCCCTTCCTTGACTTGTTCTCTTCATCTGCAGGCCACTTAGCCATAGGCCAGGCCTGGTATGCAAGGGGCCATCTTCAACCGGATTTTGAAAATTGCTTCTCATGCCTGACACTTGGATGAATTAAAGTTGGAGATGCCAAAAGCTGGTGCAGCAGCAGGCTGTGATAGGAGATGACTTCTTAAAATAGGGGCCAACCTGGCCCAATTCGGATGCCTTCCGCATGCCGGTTAACCCCTTCCCTCCCTAGGAGATTCTTGATCTCAGTGTGCCTGGGGCCACAGGGTTAATGGAGGGAAAGCAGGCTTGGCTTGTGTCCCCAACCTCAAAATAAACGGAAGCAACATCTGATTTTAAGAAATGCTTTGCTTTGGCTTCCTCCGGTGATGTCCTTGCTCTGTCGCCTCCAGCCTGGTGTTCTGCAGAGAGGAAATACGTAGAGGTCAAGTGCATGGCAGTTAGGAAAGACAATTAGACAGCTTTCTTTGTTTCTTTAGTAAATTATTCTTATTAATTACTGTCAGTTTTGTGGGAAGGCATTTTTCAAACCTGGTGTAGAAGGCAGCTCCCGTTCATGAGAAGGTGCTGGAAGCTGTGTTCTTTTCTCCAGTTTGACTCACGTGAGGTGAGGTATGTCAGCCCCGGCTGGCTTGTAAACATCTCTCTGGGGCTTGTTTGGCTTCCTGCAGTCCCCTGACACCCGTTTTCAATGTATGCATTGAACACAACAGGTTGGTTGTTAGTATGTGGTTCTGAAAGTGAGAAAAGTATTTCTTAGGCAGCCAGGAGAAGAAAGAGCTATGTGTGAGGAAGGGCCTGCTACCTGAACAGGTGCAGATGCCTTTACGACACCTACTCCCCCCCCCCCATCTTCCTGTTTCACAAAAGCCCTGGTGTGGGCACTGGGGGAGGAGGCTCTTGTCACCTGGTGCACTTTACAGTGACGCTGTAGTAATTTAAGGCTGGCTGAGTGCAGAGGGCACTGGGGGCTTTCTCTTGGTTTGATCTTGTTCTTCCAAGCACTCAGTTGTTGGGTTAAATTAGTTTCCTCAATCCCAGTACTTAAAGTAACTAAATCGTAAACAAAATTTATATTAGATCCTGACAACTAATAATCTATTTAAATTACATTAAAGTATCTGGGCAAAATTTTAATTAAAGACCGAAGTACTGTCAAGCCCTGTAAATATCCTGACAGGTCTACTCAAACGGAACTGATACCGTGAAATATTTACATATGTCTGGTGTGTTCGGAGCTTCTCAGCAGTG